AGCAGGTCCAGCACTGCACTCGTGTGTGGAGTCGGTTCCGGTCGTTGTATTCCTCACACGGATCCGCTGGAGGGCCGGTTCCGGACGTCTGCGGGGTTTCTGTGGGGCTGTAGATGCGCTGCCGGACACTGCGGCACTGGGTGCAGCGGATCGCTCTGGGCCAGTTCAGGTAAGTGCACACCTGACACGACCATTTGCTGCTGTGCTCGGAGGACTGGGCCGGGCGGACGCGGGGCCGGGCGCTGGAATCAGGGCAGATGAGCAGGCTGTCGTTGCACACGGGGTCACACCGGTGTCCGGTGCCGCTCGGGAACAGTTCCTCTGTTATGATGGTTCCGCTGGGCCGCTGCGCTCGGCACATGGTGCACTTAATAGCAGACGACCAGTTTTCATACGTGCAGTACTCACACGACCACTTCACACACAGGTCTGTCATGATGGATCAGCTCACTCACACACTCACTCACACACACTCTCTCGCTCGCACGCTCACACACTCACTCACACACACACACTCTCTCACTCTCACTCACTCGCACGCTCACACACTCACGCACGCACACTCGCTCACACACACACTCACACTCGCTCACACACTCGCTCACACTCGCTCACTCAGACTCACTCACTCACACTCACTCCGCACGCTCGCTCACTCACACACACACTCACACTCACTCACTCGCACGCTCACACACTCACGCACGCACGCTCGCTCACTCACACACACACTCACACTCACTCACTCACTCGCTCACACACTCGCTCACACTCGCTCACTCAGACTCACTCACACACACACACACACACAATCAACAACACAATCTTACATCAGGCTCACACATTGATACGGAGACAACCAATCTGCAAACACAAACATGACATGACGTGACAAACACATGTCAGAAATCCAGAACAGAATGCAAGAAATTCTATCTTTAATACTCTAGTCTTCAATACTTCCAAAAATACTACCAATTATAATGTCAGCGATGTAACATATGAGCATTAATTATATTGTCAGTTAGTATTTCACAGCACTGACGGGATTAATATTGCTATTGACACTCATATCTGACAGAATTGACAGTATTAATATTATTGACACCAACAGTATGGATAGTATTGATGTTATTAGTGATGTTTGTAACTGACAGTATATTAAAGGCACAGTCTGTAATTTACGCCGCTAGAGGGCACGTATTCAAAATAAACAAATAGACAAAGGCGTAGTTTGATGACGTTGTGACTGAGTGAGGAATCATGGGAGTTGTGGTCTTCATCCGCACAGCCGATACAATCCGACGGGACTCGGGCAGAAATCATGTTCATGGATGAGCTAATGATTTATTAACGTAGTAGAATGAAGCAGGATGAGGCTGAAAGCCGTCGAAGTGAAACGACTCGCTGAACGAGCGCGACACACGGCTGGAAAGCAGCGGAGCTTTTATTATGCCACAGTCGAGCGCTTCCGCTGCTTCCGGTCGTGCGTGTGTGGGGTAAAGCAGCGGAGCTTTTATTATGCCACAGTCGAGCGCTTCCGCTGCTTCCGGTCGTGCGTATGTGGGGTAAAGCACACAACATATTAAAGCGTCTTTGCTGTTTCCATGTTCTCTACAAAACTAAACCGGAAATCGAGGGGTTATGACGTCATCAGCAGGCGACACAATGACAATATAGACACGGTCTGTGCTTCTAGTTAAAATTGATTATTTCTCTGGATTTAAACATTCTTCGAAACATTTGGGATAATGTAAGTACACAAGTCAGCAAAATATATAACACTGTTCTAGTGGTTTTTGGATATTTTAATAAAAAAAATCTTACATATTGTGCCTTTAATGTTATTATTAGCAATACTCGCATATACAGTATTAATGTTATGAAACTCATTTCTCACAGTAACGTTACTGTTGGTATTAATGTTATTAGTCACAGGCAGCACTGACGCTATCACATTAATACTCGGACAGACACAGATTACTCACAGCTCCTCATGAAAGAGACTTAAATCCCCTCCGTCTGTCTTTATCGTTACTCCACCTCCATTGTGTTCTCTAACCTCTCAGCTTTATATCAGTCGTTGAATAGAGTGTTATGTCGACGGTGATCTCGGAATGTTGATGTAGATGCGGATTTAATGGCGGCGCTGACAAAATAAACACGAGCAGCGTCACGTGCACGTGATCAGACGCACCGCCGCTGATTGGTCGGTTCCGCACCATCTGAAAACCAGCCCTAGAGTGGGACATTCATTACTTCATGTTCACTTCAAAATCATATGAGTGATTTTCAAATGACACGCTTGTGACAACTAGCCCCGCTCTCTGATATAACGTGCTGTTACTCTGACAGTCTTGAGCTGATCATTACTTGTTTTTCACTGAGAGGAAATCTCTCATAACTTAAACTGAAAGCTGATTTACTGCAAATGTTCACTTAGTTGCATTTAAACATGGAAATGTCATGATGTATACTGCCGGTCAAATGTTGCATTCGTTTCTCTTCACCAATATTTTTTCACTTTGAATCAATAAATGAGACTTATTTTGAATCTAAAGACATTCAGATATGTAGTCAATGCATGATGTGCAGCAGTTTCCAGATGCTCCTGTAGATGGAGTCACAGATCTCAGATCAGTTCCCGGTGCTTCAGAGATGTGGGAACAAACCCAAACCCAGTAACACACACACACACTCTCTCACTCACACACACACACACACACACTCACTCACACACACTCTCTCGCTCACTCACTCGCACGCTCACACACACACACACACACTCTCTCACTCACTCGCACGCTCACACACTCGCACGCTCACACACTCACTCACACACACTCTCTCGCTCACTCACTCGCACGCTCACACACACACACACACTCTCTCACTCACTCGCACGCTCACACACTCGCACGCTCACACACTCACTCACACACACTCTCTCGCTCACTCACTCGCACGCTCACACACACACACACACTCTCTCACTCACTCGCACGCTCACACACTCGCACGCTCACACACTCACTCACACACACTCTCTCGCTCACTCACTCGCACGCTCACACACACACACACACTCTCTCACTCACTCGCACGCTCACACACTCGCACGCTCACACACTCACTCACACACACTCTCTCGCTCACTCACTCGCACGCTCACACACACACACACACTCTCTCACTCACTCGCACGCTCACACACTCGCACGCTCACACACTCACTCACACACACTCTCTCGCTCACTCACTCGCACGCTCACACACACACACACACTCTCTCACTCACTCGCACGCTCACACACTCGCACGCTCACACACTCACTCACACACACTCTCTCGCTCACTCACTCGCACGCTCACACACACACACACACTCTCTCACTCACTCGCACGCTCACACACTCGCACGCTCACACACTCACTCACACACACTCTCTCGCTCACTCACTCGCACGCTCACACACACACACACACTCTCTCACTCACTCGCACGCTCACACACTCGCACGCTCACACACTCACTCACACACACTCTCTCGCTCACTCACTCGCACGCTCACACACACACACACACTCTCTCACTCACTCGCACGCTCACACACTCGCACGCTCACACACTCACTCACACACACTCTCTCGCTCACTCACTCGCACGCTCACACACACACACACACTCTCTCACTCACTCGCACGCTCACACACTCGCACGCTCACACACTCACTCACACACACTCTCTCGCTCACTCACTCGCACGCTCACACACACACACACACTCTCTCACTCACTCGCACGCTCACACACTCGCACGCTCACACACTCACTCACACACACTCTCTCGCTCACTCACTCGCACGCTCACACACACACACACACTCTCTCACTCACTCGCACGCTCACACACTCGCACGCTCACACACTCACTCACACACACTCTCTCGCTCACTCACTCGCACGCTCACACACACACACACACTCTCTCACTCACTCGCACGCTCACACACTCGCACGCTCACACACTCACTCACACACACTCTCTCGCTCACTCACTCGCACGCTCACACACACACACACACTCTCTCACTCACTCGCACGCTCACACACTCGCACGCTCACACACTCACTCACACACACTCTCTCGCTCACTCACTCGCACGCTCACACACACACACACACTCTCTCACTCACTCGCACGCTCACACACTCGCACGCTCACACACTCACTCACACACACTCTCTCGCTCACTCACTCGCACGCTCACACACACACACACACTCTCTCACTCACTCGCACGCTCACACACTCACTCACACACACTCTCTCGCTCACTCACTCGCACGCTCACACACACACACACACACTCACTCACTCTCACACACACACTCTCTCTCTCTCTCACTCACTCTCTCACACACACACACACTCACTCACTCACAATTTTGGGTCACAGACAGGTATGCTGTGATCAGGACTGGACATAATTAATTATCATAAAAACCAATGAGTGTCAGAATTCATTTGTCACACTGCATATCGGTGAAAAGGATCTAGTGAAGGTATCAGTTACAAACCCTATCTTTCCTTCATGCATCTCTGTATCAAACAATATCTCTTGCTGTTGATTAAAAAGTCATAGTATATTTGATAGTTATGTGCCCGTTCATCAAAGTAGCCTGCTGTTTTCTCTTCTTTCATAAGACAGATGTCACACACGTGTTGTTTTAGTGCGAACTCGTTGATAAATGAGATTAACAGAGCAGTTAATCACAGATGAGGCACGCTGTGTGCGGCGTTGGGCGAGTCCATTCAGACGCGGGGGGAGCTTCTTCATTTAAACGGAACTATTAATCAGAACCGCGCGTATCTTTGTCAGGAATCATACCTGATGTGTTTACATGAGTATATACTGTGTTTCCGCTCAGTTGAAGGTGTTTCGGGTGTGTGTTGTGTGTGTTGTGTGCTGTGTTCGTCCCCCGCGGCTGCGTCTGTGAGTGAGCGGTCCGCGCTGGAGAGAGGAGCGGCGGAGGAGGATGACGACCTGAACGGCCGTGTTTACCGATCCGGCGCTCCGCTCGCTGTCCCGTGAGTATACCGCGAAAATACGGATCCAGCTGCAGTATATTGCATCATGTTCGCCGCGTCGCTGAGCATGAGTGAGTTTCCCGCGACGCTCGCGGACCTTAGCGTCAGTAGCGTCTGTTTCCAGAGAAACTCCCGAATTAAAGTCGGTCAGAAACTCCGGTGCACGGTGATTCCACAACCGACGATCAAAGTTACAGCAGAAGCTCGGTTCAACTCGAACCGGGAACTCTAACTTACCAAATAACTTCAGTCACGAGCTGAAAAACTATTTACTGATGAGTATCTCCAGTTATTCCGTGTTTTTAGAGTATTCAGTATTTTAGAATACTCAGTATAAAGGAGTATTCTTTCTTTTAGAAGTACGTAGTATTTAGTATAGAGAGTGTAAGTAATAAAGAGTGTAAGATGGAGTGTATTTAGTATAGAGAGTGTAAGTAATATAGAGTAAGAATGATGTGAAACGTGATTGGGGACAACAGAGACGTGAGAAACAAGACATACTACACTCTCATACTAGTCTATACTATATATTCTCACGCTATACTACTTACTCTGCCATTATTTCCACTAAGTATAAATAGCATCTATCTACACTTAATGCAAACATACTGCTATTTTTAAATAGTATATATAAAATCTATTGCTATTTAGTGTAAATAACAAACTGCTAAATAATGCTATTTTCACTCAGTGTATATAGAAGTGAATTACAGTTGAAATATACGTTTATTTGAGTGATTGTCATTTTCCATAGAAGTGAATGTGCCAAGATAACGTGGGTGTGGTTTGTGAATCATGTCAGCACGTGAAATCATGTTAAAATGACACTTAAACTGTGTCGCATGCGTTAAAACAGGTATTGAGGAAACAACACTGCGTAATAATTGCATCAACATTTAAGAATGTACCAACGTCTTTTTATCAGTCGCTTTTGGCGAATCTGCTGGAATGGGACGTAAAATAGCTCACATGCACGCGCACATCCCCAGTTAACACATCCCCAGTTGATCCATAGCACCGGAGTATTCCATATTTTAAAAGTATTCGGCGTTAACAGTTTGCCGTATTTTAAGGGTATTTAGTATTTTTATAGTACTCAGTATTTTGCAATACTCAGTATTTTAGGAGTATTCTGTATTTTAAGAGTTTGCGTTATTGTTGAGTATTAAATATTTTGGAGTCTATTTTAAGCCTATTGTTCAGTATTTTAGAGTGCATTTTAAGACTATGCCATTGTTTGAGTATATAGTATTTATTTTATTCATTAATTTACATTTTAAATTTAATTTAATTCATGTGTTAATCTTTTAATTTTTATTTTGAGATGAAATATAACCCACACATTTCTTCGTGAGATTAATCAGGACGTTTTAACCATGTTTTACCTACATGCCCTTGCCATTTTATCAGACTTCCAAAAATGAATCGCAAACATTTAACTCTTGGACGTGGCCCCAGAAAGAACTCTTCAGAATTCTTCTTATTTTAAGAGTATGTAATATTTTAGTGTATTATAGAGTGCTCAGTATTTTAAGAGAATTCCGTATTTTCAGAGTATGTGGTTTTTTAGACGAGTATTCTGTACAATTGAAGGGTTGCGTGTGTTTTAGTATAGTATATTGTGTTGAGTATTAATAGAGGAAACCTGAGTACTGAGTGATGATGTGTGAACTAAAGCAGCAGCAGAGTCTAATCTGAATAAGAGCAGCTCTAGGATTTCTTGCCGATTGTGTTTATCTAGCCATCGTCACAATACCAGCTCGTTAGCTGTGATCAGGCCGTATGCAAATAAAGGATTTTCACTTCTCTCTGAGTCACTTCCCAGGCCTCTGGAGAATCGTCTGGTGTTTAGCAGTGAAGCGTTGTGACGTGCAGCACTCCAGCTTTTGCTCCAGTCGCTGCTATGAATGTGTGCTTGTGTGTTTCTCACCTCCAGCCGTCGTTGCACTGTGTGTTTCACGGTAAACGGTGACTCTGTTCTCACCAGAGCGGCCGTGGCTGTGTTTACAGAGCCGTGTTTGTGTGCTCGAGGAGCAGAGCGACATTTCCCAGGGCTAATTCATTTTCTACTGAAGGGAATTGTTTCGGTTAATGTTTGTGGTGAATATCTGGGTGATAAACGTAACATTGTGATTGTGAGACATCAGACAGAGAATACAGAACAGGTTTGACTGTTCCTTTGACATAAAAGAGGCAGATTTTGACCTTCACCAAACAGATGGCGTGCACATTGAGACACGTCTTGTAATCATTTGTGTTGTGCGTGTGTTTCTCTACTGTCCACCACAGTGACCCTCAGCCGGTGTGTGTTTATGTTAAACACTGTGGTATGAAATGTTCACTCGTTTAAATCGTTATAATGTTTTCTTCTATTATTTTGATCATTTCATTGCTATTACTATATTTCTCCACATATATTCCAAGCTTTGGCTATATTGTTTTTTTTTTTACAGTCATGCCAATAAAGCAATTTTGAATAGAATTGAAATTGTTTAATAAACTTCAGTCACGAGCTGAAAAACTAGTATTTACTGATGAGTATTTAGAGTTATTCCAGTAGTTATTCCGTTTTTTTTTTTGAGTATTCAGTATTTTAGAATACTCAGTATTTAGGAGTAATCTTTCTTTTAGAAGTATGTAGTATTTTTAGTATGCTGTATTTCAAGAGTATTCCGTATTTTTGGAGTATCTAGTATTTTAGAATACTCCGTATGTTAAGAGTATGCCAGAGCATTCCATATCTTAAAAGTAGGCCTATTCGGCGTTAACAGTTTGCAGTATTTTAAGGGTATTTAGTATTTTTTAAATTTGTGTGCTGTGATTGAATCTGATTTAATTGAAACCGTTTCAGATAGAGCTGCGCAGAGTGACGTGACGCTGATCGCTGAAAGGCCTTTGGTCTTCAGAACTCGTGCGATTGTGTCTTTGCCGTGCCACAGGTGTGTTTTGATAACGAGGTCACGTAACAAGCGGCCGTAAACGCGTGCACCGCAGTGGAAGTTCCCATAACGAATCACAAGATCATTTTTATGAGCTCACTGACTTTCAGTTATTGGCAGTTCCATATTTTCATAGCTGTTAACATCAGGCTCTGAGAGGGAAGTGCTTCATAAGATCACGAACCACCGGAGATTAACCAAGAAATCTGTGACGAACAAACAACTGCACACTGATGATTGTGTTAAAGCTGTAGAGTAAAACTGTGAAACAAGGTTTCAGTTAAACATGGCTTTTGTCATGCATTGAAAATAGCAGAAGAGAGATGAAAATGCCTAGTTATCCATATCACTTTTGTGTTTGAAACACAAGCATCACGCAGTCATTTTTGTGTGAATTCAGCATTTGAAAGCAGCGTTGTACACATAATTTGTGAACGCTGTGAAGCACTAGTGCTCAGGTGAGTGTGTGTTTGCGATCAGCGAGCGTCTGTGGGTTTGTGGCAAGCTCATGAAGGCTGGCTTTCTGTGCTAATGTGGGTTATTGCCTGGTAACAGTTTAACCAGCGCTTCTAGATGAACTTACAGTAAAATGAACTGGTTTATTGACGCTTCACCTTTGCTGAGAGGTTACGTGAACGTGAGCTCTACTCTAATGAGAAGAGACGACGTGTGTGTATTTTTCCCAAATTCTGTTTTTTTTTTTTTCAAATTCCGTTTACATTTTTCTGGATTCCGTTTTTAATGGTGAAATTAAATTATTAATCAAAAAGCATGTCTAATTAATTAAAATCATGAAACTTACATCATTTCACATCAATTTATTAAAAGTTTAGTTATTAAAAATTACGTTTAAGGCACTATTTTATTTTTTTCTCACCATATGTTTTATTGTTACCAAGTTCTATGTTTTAGCATGTCTAATTATTTCAGTGCATAAAAACAACATAATTTATTCAGATTTATTGTTACAATAGCCTTAGGAAATGTTTCCTCTGTGTTGTGTTGTTTACATTTTTCTGGTTATCAAATGAAGGCATAAAATTTTTTATTTATCTTTTAATTATTGAAAGTTAAAATTTATTTTTATTATTTGAAGAAATGTTGTGTGATTATTCCTTAAAGTCAAAATAAAGTTGTAATAATTTATGTACATTCTACTGAACAATAGTTATGTATTTCTGGCTCAATGTCTTCAAGTTAAACCGAACTTTTATTTTGACGGGTTGCCGTGAATACCTTTTAAGTTTCTTAGTATATATGATATAGTTTCTCTCAAATGAAACTCAAATAAAATGCTGATGAAGTGACTCTCAGAGCAGTTCTGGAGATGGTGCTCATGTCCTCGTTTAGTGAGACGCTGTAATCGCACGAGCATCACGCTTCAGTATGTGTGTAATAAACTAAACGAGTAATGTTCGGGACGAGTCGCGGCTGTGTGCGCTCTGGGAATGTGTGTAACCTTCGACCTCGTGGCTGTGTTCAGCAGCAGAAAGTTCACCCAAAACTCACTCTGAAAGGGCCGTGTTCCTCCTGCATCTGCCTGTAACGCTCCCTGTTTTTATACTGATAAACTCTCCAGGATCTCTGGGTCTTTCCCTCACCGCGGTGCTGTGAAAACAGCTTTATTTGAGTCGGGATTCGACCTCGGGACGGCCGTAGCGCTGTATATCGACACGCTGCCCACAAGGCTATCGGCGCAGACGAAACATCCTTCACAGTGGATAAATTAGATCAAATTCTTTGGCAATATTCCCATCTGTTTGACTTAGGCATTGCTAATTAATGTACACGTGTGTAAATGTAGGGCTCTATGAAATCCGTTTTATTTTTTCTGGATTCCGTTTTTTTCCATTTAAATTTTTCTGTACTCTTTTTATTTTTTTATTTTTTTTTTAATGGTTAAATTACATTTTATTACTTAAAAAGCAAGTCTAACGAGCCTCGTATCCTTATAAACAGCCCCGCTCTGTTTTAGTTTTTTCTCTATTTTCATGCTACAAATGTACCATAAATACGATGCACTTTGTAGAAATGTGACTCGTCCTGTTGTCAGATCAGAAGAAGGAGTCTCGGTCTGTTCTCAAATGTAGAAATCGAGTTATCCGGTTATCATCTCTGAGCGTTTAGAGACTTGAGATGTTGTGGCTGATGCTCTTGAATTGCTATAAAGCTCTAGACTCACATCTGGCTCCCATCAGCGGCTCTAGAGTTGCTCGAGGAGCGAGGCAGCGGTGTGTTTTGATAACCGTGAGGTCACACTTATTCTTGACGATATTTTGTGTATATTGAGTGTGTTATTGTGCTGGTATCTTAAGGACTGCTGTGGACAGCTGACTCATAAAGTATTCTTCATATTCTGTGTGCTGGTCAGTTCACAGCAGTGATAGAAATTAATCTTTTCCAATAAGTTTAAATGGATTTTTACATCTTATGGGTATTTTTACCTTTATAAAGCCATTTTTTCTAATAGTGTCCATTATGTTTTGAGTCAAACTCTTACATTTAATCGGTGAATTAGAATCATGAGACATTTGGGCTGTTAGCAAGCAAATGAAATCAGTATCAATAACATTTTTGGAGAAAAACGTCATTCTTCGTGTGAAATTGGCTACTATATGAAGTGGTATGACTATATACATTTTCTACCTCCATGTCTTGAATTTGTGATCATCCTAAATGCATTTTAATACTGAATCATGCCGTTAAAGAGCGCACTCTAATAGAAGAGCACTAGTCTAGACTTCACGTGATGTGTGCGTGCGCTCTGTAGGGGTGTTTTGAATGGTTTTCGCAAAATACTCGATAATGTCAAATCACACATCGTTAAAACAACAATTACGATATTATCGCAGACGATATATATCACACACCCCTAAGTGAACGTGGCACGTGTAACGGTTGAGTAATGTGATTGATGTGCATCTTATAAGCAGACAGAATACTGTGTGTAAATCTCTATCGGCTGACGGGTTCCTGTCCTGTTCTGTGTCCAGGCTGAAGAGCGTTTGGTACTGATCGGATCGGATCAGCGCGGCACTCCAATGATGAGCTTCACTAGAACTGTCCTGCACTGGAATGGACTGTGGCAAACATGTGTGTTGCCATGGTGATTATTCACACTAAAACACTGGAAAAGAAGGCCGTCGATGATGTAGCATCCACAGAGTCTCTGCAGCTGGTAAGACTTCACATCTGATGAACATGATGCGGGACAACCGAGGCTGTTAGAATGCAGTGATATGAGCCTAAAATTCAACATATGAGTGCAAAAAATCACCCCTTTTATATTTATATCATATGATATAGTTGAGCAGTATCACACCAGCAGGAGTGCTGTTTTCCTCTAGTATCATTGCAAAACGTGATTTATACAGCAGTTCAATATACAAGAAGTTCATATTGCCTTACATTTTAGACACAATGTTGTCAATTTCGAAAACAAAAAATAGTTCCAATTAAAGCCACACAGCAGGGCTGTTGTGAATAAGTCCATGTCTTTGAATGAATCGTTCACTGAATAGTTGATTCAGTGACTCATTTATAAGGGCAGTCAGCTTAATTTCTGAATAAATCAACTGTTGGAATGAATCTGTTGAATGAATGATTCAATGACTCACTCATTAAGACTCGCTGCCACCTACTGGCGCTTTTAGTTTCATATTTAGAGTATCATTTAATTTTTTGACCTGGATGCTCATCTGATCCGTCTGTGTGTTTCTACAGCGTGAGCCGCCGACCATGAGCCAGGGGACGGCCCTCTTCTCCTGCGGGATTATGGGTAAATGCAAATACACCGCTGTGTTGTCTTTATAGCGATCAAATATCTTTCTGTTCTGCATTTGCTCCTTCACTGATTGGATCAGCGTATCTTCATCTCCATGAAAGAGCGGAATAGAAAGTGTGCCGCACTCACATCTGATACCCATGAGGCCTAGTTTCAGACGTCACAGGTGCGAGCGTCTCCGAGCCGGTGTCACGTGTGAGCAGCTCGATGTTTGTCTCCAGAACAACTGCTCTCAGAAAACAGAGGCAGTAAAAGAATGGAGCCAGTCTTTGAGTGGAATAAACAGAGTTGAGTGATCAGTAGGGTTTTGTGCTGCGTCAGATCGATGCCCACAGCGGTGTGTGCTGGTTAGGCTGTCTTTGTTCTGCTGCGTGCCCACAGCCAGAGCATTTCTGCTTTTGACTTGAGAAAAATGCCCCTCTGCAACGAGAAGCGCTGCTGGTCTGATGCGCTGGGTGTGGACACACGGCCATCTGAACAATCCCTGGACATCATCAGGGACATTTTCCAAGGGCCCCCTGATAATTATAACGGTGATTAAGCACATGCTTACTATAATTTACTGTATACTCTTAGATGGCGTTAGAACTTAAATGTTTGTGGAATTTTTCCTTTTTCTGGATTGCATTTGATTTTTCTGGATTATGTTTTTCTGGACTAAATTTTAATGGTTAATTTTAATTTAAATGATCTAAAAGCATGTCTAATCAATTGCATTTATAAAACTTTAATAACTTAATATTTGATTACATTTTTACAATAATATGGACGTATGAAATATTTAATTTTTTCAGAAATTCTGTGTTGTCTGCTTTCATTTTTCTGGATTTATGCATTAATACAAATGTATTATTAAATACTTTAATGATCAAAACATTAACAATTTAATCTTTTAAAATGTAATCAAATAAATTGAACAATTTCTTTTCATTTTTAAATGTATTATTATTATGATTATGGTCTGACTCTAGTAGCTCTGAAGATGAAGTTTGTGTGTTCATATAGTGAGACGCAGACAAGCGCCACATGTGCTTTAGTATATGTAGTAGAGCAAACTGAGACGCCGTAGAGCAGGGATCCTCAAATCTGGCCCACGAGATCCACTGTCCTGCAGACTTCAGCTCTAACCCTAATCAAACACACCTGAGCATGCTAATCGATGTCTTCAGGATCATTAGAAAATCACAGGTAGGTGAGTTTGATCAGGGTTGGAGCTAAACTCTGCAGCGCATTGGCCCTCCAGGGCAAGATTTGAGGAACCCTGCCATAGAGTATAAATATATAGTGTAGAATGTAGTATAGAGTGTAAGTAATATAGAGTGTGAGTACATAGTATAGAATGTGAGTATGTAGTATAGAAAGCATGTAGTATAGATTGTGAGTAATATAGAGGGTGAGTATTTAGTATAGAGAGTATGTAATATAAAGTGTGGGTACATAGTATAGAGTATGAGTATGTAGTATAGAGAGATTGTAAGTAATATAGATAGAGTGAGTATGTAGTATAGAGTGAGTATGTAGTATAGAGTGTGAGTATGTAGAATAGAGGGTAAGTAATATAGAGTGTGAGTACATAGTATAGAGTGCAGGTAGTATAGATTGGGAGTAATATAGAGTATGAGTATGTAGTATAGATTGTAAGTAATATGGAGTGTGATTATCTAGTATAGAGCGCAAGTATGTAGTATAGAGTGAGTATGTAGTATAGAGGGAAAGTAATATAGTTTGAGTACATAGTATAGAGTGCAGGTAGTATAGATTGGGAGTAATATAGAGTATGAGTATGTAGTATAGATTGTAAGTAATATGGAGTGTGATTATCTAGTATAGAGCGCAAGTATGTAGTATAGAGTGAGTATGTAGTATAGAGGGAAAGTAATATAGTTTGAGTACATAGTATAGAGTGCAGGTAGTATAGATTGGGAGTAATATAGAGTGTGAGTATGTAGTATAGATTGCAAGTAATATAGAGTGTGAGTACATAGTATAGAGTGCAGGTAGTATAGATTGGGAGTAATATAGAGTGTGAGTATGTAGTATAGATTGTAAGTAATATGGAGTGTGATTATCTAGTATAGAGTGCAAGTATGTAGTATAGAGTGAGTATGTAGTATAGAGGGTAAGTAATATAGTTTGAGTACATAGTATAGAGTGCAGGTAGTATAGATTGGGAGTAATATAGAGTGTGAGTATGTAGTATAGATTGCAAGTAATATAGAGTGTGAGTACATAGTATAGAGTGTGTGTATGTAGTATAGAGTGCATGTAGTATAGCTTGTGAGTAATATAAAGTGTGAGTATCTAGTATAGAGTGTGAGTATGTCGTATAGAGTGTGAGTATGTCGTATAGAGTGTGAGTATGTCGTATAGAGTGTGAGTATGTAGTATAGAGTGTAAGTAATATAGAGTGTGAGTACATAGTATAGAATGTGAGTATGTAGTATAGAAAGCATGTAGTATAGATTGTGAGTAATATAGAGTGTGAGTATTTAGTATAGAGAGTATGTAATATAAAGTGTGGGTACATAGTATAGAGTATGAGTATGTAGTATAGAGTGCATGTAGTATAGCTTGCATGTAGTATAGAGTGTAAGTAATATAAAGTGTGAGTATAGAGTTTATGTAATATAGAGTTTGATTACATAGTATAGAGTGCAGGTAGTATAGATTGGGAGTAATATAGAGTGTGAGTATGTAGTATAGATTGTAAGTAATATGGAGTGTGATTATCTAGTATAGAGTGCAAGTATGTAGTATAGAGTGAGTATGTAGTATAGAGGGTAAGTAATATAGTTTGAGTACATAGTATAGAGTGCAGGTAGTATAGATTGGGAGTAATATAGAGTGTGAGTATGTAGTATAGATTGTAAGTAATATAGAGTGTGAGTACATAGTATAGAGTGTGTGTATGTAGTATAGAGTGCATGTAGTATAGCTTGTGAGTAATATAAAGTGTGAGTATCTAGTATAGAGTGTGAGTATGTCGTATAGAGTGTGAGTATGTCGTATAGAGTGTGAGTATGTAGTATAGAGTGTGAGCACATAGTATAGAGTGTGTGTATGTAGTATAGAGTGCATGTAGTATAGATTAAGTAATATAGAGTGAGTACATAGTATAGAGTGTGTGAATGTATAGAGTGTAAGTAATATAGAGTGTATGTAGTATATAGTGTATGTAGCATAGATTGTAAGTAATATAGAGTTTGAGTACGTAGTATAAAGTGCATGTAGTATAGATTGTGAGTATGTAGTATAGAGTGTGAGTATGTAGTATAGAGTGTGGGTATGTAGTATAGCGTGTGAGTATGTAGTATAGAGAGTGAGTATGTAATATAGAGTGTAAGTAATAAAGAGTGTGAATAAGATGGAGTGTATTTAGTATAGAGAGTGTAAGTAATATAGAGTAAGTAGTATAGCGTGTGAATATATAGTATAGACTAGTATGAGAGTGTAGTATGTCATGTGTCTCTGTTGTCCCCAATCACGTTTCACATCATTCTGAGTAACTCCATGATTTATCGCACCGTTGGCGATGTGTGTTTCGACAGTAGTTGCTCAGAGGTCTCATGGGGTGCGAGTGATTCACATTAAGAGCGAGTAACCAAAACACACTCTCAACACACAGATGTTCAGCCGTCTGGCAGCCTGCCACCAATCAGACGGCTCTATTTGTGGCTCTTTGTTTCTTAGGCACAGCTGTGCTGTTGTGAACATCTACAGGCTCTGCCTGCTTCTCTTTTGTTCGCCTCTGTTGAGTTAAAAAAGCATCTCAAACTAGAGGTCGATACATTGATCTGAGTTTTCTGCTGTGGTTTTGACCCTCGTTCATAGGAAGTAATAAATCATGTGATGTGTGATCGCTCTAAGTATCATCCAAACACTTGAACCTCAGCCAAATGCACTGCAGTTTCAAAAATGCTGTGAATTGTGTGTTTGTGAATTGTCTACTTGTGTTAATTTAATGTGTATAGTACTACAGTAGAGCTGCACAATATGGGGAAAAGTCTAATTTTCAAAACATTTTCTGATAACATTGCGATTTAAAATGAACTGAAGTATCCAGGTTTGGTGTGTTTGTTCGTAGGTCTGTGTTATTATATATCAATATGACAACAATAATAATGATTGCTATTATTGTCATCATTATTATTATTACTATTGATGATGATAAATTACAAAATAATAAATAGAAATACTAAAAATATATTACAATTGTATTTATTTTATTGTAAAATAAAAAATGAAGTGTTTAAAATGTAATAACATTTTATAATAATAATAGTAATAATTTTATAGTACAACTGTAATACTATTTATGGCTGCGTTTTCTCATTTTCTAATGTTAAACGGTTCCATCTTAATAGGTAACTAATTTAATTAAGTTCATTAATTTTTATACATGCATACGCTAATTCAACACTAATAAGTCCCTCTAAAATCTGTTTATTTTTTCCCCCAAATTAATTTTTCCAGCTTCTGTGTCTTTAAACCATCAAACATTTATTTGAATGGAAAACCACAGGGTTTCTGTTTTGCTGACAAGCGCTTCTCATTACAAATTTGGGAAGATGGTTGGTGCATGATGCGTTCCCAAATTAATGTTAAAGCAACTTAAATTGGAATGAAAGAAAAGTAGAGTTCATGTGAAGCAGCACTTCCTGTGAACCGAGATGCTGAAAGCACCAAATTGTGAGCTGCTTGCAGGTAAACGTACACAGTGCCACGCTCCACTCTGAGACACTCGATGCTTATATTCATTTAATGCAGTCACAGCATTTGCTACTTGATCATTGCACATAAGCCGTACATGATTTCGGTTTTATTGTGATTTGTTGTGCAGTCCTATGTAGGGTTGTGACGATAAATCGATGCAGAATCTATTCGTGGATCGTTTCTGAGATCTTCCGAATGCATGGCGATTCTCTCTGGATTCGATGCTGAGCTTATATTTTAACAGCAGATGGCGCTCTACTCTAGTTTTTATCCACACACTCAAACACTCATGAAGAAGAGCTGAAGAGCGCTCGTGCATTCGGCTGAATCTGTAATTTCACCTCGGCTCAGAATGCTTTTATGAGGCCAGATTAATGAACACCCTTGTGATTCGCTTCAACCTTTTCGAATGTTATGAATGATTATTTTAGGTTCAAGTGTGTGTAAGGATTCGGATGTCTCTGAAGCATGCAGCGCCATCTGCTGTTCACAACTACGCTCAGAATCCACTCGAGAAAGAATCGCCATGCATTCAGAAAATCTCAGTGTCGATGTTGAATCATTTCTCGATTCGCGATGCATCGATTTATTTTCCCAGCCCTAGTCCTAAGTGTGTGAGATTCTGAGAGCAGGTGTTGTGTTGTAGAGTCTGGACGCTGGCCGGAGGTGTCGCGGCCCGTGGGCTCCAGTCTGGAGAGTCTGTGGGACAGTGTGCGAGAGACGGGCGCCAGCGGCGGGATCAGCGGTCTGCTGCACGATCTGAGTCTGAGTGAAGCGCCCTCTGCTGGCAGCGCCGCGCCGCCCAGTAAACGCCAGTGCCGCTCGCTGTCCTGCTCGGAGGAGCTGGGCTGCCGCTCCTCGTGGCGTCCGCAGGGGTCACGCGTCTGGATGGCGGTGGAGAAACGGCGCTGCCTCAGCGGGGGGAGTGTTCAGCGCGGCGCCTTCGCTCCGGCCGGGTTTCCCTCCATGCAGCGCAGCTCCAGCTTCAGCCTTCCGGCACGCAGCGATCCGCCGGAGCCCTTCGGCTTCTCTTTCTCCGCGTCCCCGCAGACACTCTACCTCTCGCAGGAGCGGATCTGCCCCGCCGAGTCTTCGCCCGACTCCACGCCCGAGCTGCAGCGCCGCAGACAGGGACTCGCCCGCAGCCGGTCACAGCCCTGCGTCCACAACCACAAGAAGACCGGCGTGAAGCGCAGGAGACCGGCAGACTCTCACAAACACAGGCCTTCACTGGACCTGCTCAAGATGACACAGGTGAGTGTGTGTGTGTCTGTGTGTTTGCATGTGTGTGCGTGTGTGTGAGAGAGAGTGTGTGTGTGTGTGTGTGTGTGTGTGTGTGAGAGAGTGAGTGAGTGTGTGTGTGTGTGTGTGTGTGTGAGAGAGTGTGTGTGTGAGTGAGTGAGTGAGTGAGTGTGTGTGTGAGAGTGTGTGTG